GAGGCCGGCGGGGAGGGAACTGGAGGAGCGAAGGGGCCTAGAGGTCTTCGCCGAAACCGTGTGTGTGAGGCCGGCGGCCGGCAGGAGAGGCGTCCGGGGTGGACTGGCCCGAGAGGGAGCCCCTTTCCCGAACGGCCGGAGGAGGCCGCCTAGGGGGCGGGCAGAGGCAGGGAGGGCCAGCATGCCCCCAATGCTGTTCCCCGCCCTGCCGCTGCTCCTGGGCGCCACGCTGACCTTCCGGGCGCTCCGGCACGCGCTCTGTCGCCTGCCCCTGCCTGCGCACGTGCGCGCCGACCCCCTGCGCACCTGGCGCTGGCACAACCTTCTCGTCTCCTTCGCCCATTCCATTGTGTCAGGGATCTGGGCGCTACTGTGGTGAGTGAAGGACTGGGGGAGTGAAGGTGGCTAGGGGACCCCGCATTACTCTTTCCTTCACTCACCGGCGGGCTAAGGCCCAGGCAGTCTCACCCGATTCCCGGTTTAAAATGCTGTCCAATCAGGAGCGGCAGCAGCGCCGCGGGGTTGGGGGGGGTTTCTCACCTGGGAAACAGGAGACACCTGGGTTTCAACCGAGCCCCTCCTGGCTCACCCGTCAGCCAATAGCGCCAGCCCAGACCCTCCGGGGACTGGCAAGGGTAATGGCAGGGGGAGTCGTGGGTCCTTGGGGGATACTGAGATGAGAGCCTGCCTTCTCCCTTCCCTTCCAGTATATGGCAGACCCCTGAGATGCTGGTGGACGTTGAGAGCGCATGGTCGCTTTCTGGCTATCTGCTTGTTTGCTTTTCCGCAGGTAGGTCTTGCCCAGGAAGCATTAAAAAGGGGGCACAGGGATAAGCTTCTTGTTCAGTACCATTTATGACCTCTTCCCCCAACCCTCCGCTAGGGTACTTCATCCACGACACACTGGATATTGTGGTTAGCCAACAGGCACGAGCTTCTTGGGAATACCTCGTCCACCACGTCATGGTGAGAAGCAGGGGATGTGGTATAGGCCTGGTGCTAGCAACCTAGTCTCAGCTGTCTTTCTGAACCTGGGAGGTAAAGACCATCTTTTCTTAACTCCACCCCCACCCTGTGTCCCACATCTCATGCTAAAATGCTGAGGGCTGGCAGTCTCTGGGCCCTTGCTTCACTATTTGAGGCCAGCAATCATGGCCTCGCCTTCTTAAGACTGGAAACTCCACCCAGAATCTGTGGGCAGGGATCAAAATTCAATCTTGTTGAATCCACTGTAAACTGTATTTCAGAAAGCAAATAAGGGAAGATTTCCTACCCCTCAATCTGGTAGCCTTGTTATTCCCACCAACTTCCAGGAAAGCCTTGACATCTGGGTTCCCTAACCCATTCTCTCCCTTGCCTTGTAGGCTATGGGTGCCTTCTTTTCAGGCATCTTTTGGAGCAGATTTGTTGGTGGGGGCGTCCTAACACTGCTGGTGGAGGTCAGCAACATCTTTCTCACAATTCGCATGATGATGAAGATCAATAATGCCCAGGACCTCCTCCTCTATCGAGTCAACAAATACATCAACTTGTTTATGTACTTTCTTTTCCGCCTGGCCCCTCAGGCGTACCTCACCCATTTCTTCCTGGGTTACGCCGGCCAGAGGAACCTGGGAACCTTTCTGCTGGGCATCCTGCTTATGCTGGACGTCATGATCCTCGTCTACTTTTCCCGCCTCCTCCGCTCTGACTTCTGCCCCCAAGGTGTCCCCAGCCGGCAACACAAAGACAAGTTCTTGATTGAGTGAAAAACGCATTTAGGGACTTGTGGCAAGGACAGCAAACACAGCCAAGAACACCGTCACACGGACTGAGAAGAGACTTAGCCCCTTGCCTGAGGTGTCCTCTGGGGCCAGCCACTCCACCTTTCAAGCCTGCACCCACTATTGAAAACACTAATGAAAGCACTCTTCTGAAGTCCTTGTCCTTCCTTGGGCAAGGGGTGAGGGAAGCAGACAGACCGGTTGGACATGGTAGATGGGTATGGGGACAAGGTGCTACCGGAAAGCCAGCCAACCCACACTGCCCTGAAATGGATGCTAATGAAAACTCTGGATATTGGTTTCATACAAAGCCTCTTCCAGAGATGAAGCAAGGGGTTCTTGCAAAGCTTCTTGCTTGGTCTCTTACCTCATGATGGAGGCCAAGTTGCAGTTGTCCTAAGATGTGTCTGGGTCACAAATATCTGTTACAGGTATGGTGAGGTGATAGGGCTGAGTGTTCCAACAGGTTAAGTAGACCAAGAGTCTTGCCCAAGCCCTGTTACTTAGGTGTGTATATACCATAGTATGGCCTCCCACCCAGAAATCAACAGAAAGAAAAGAAGCATACATAGAGTGAAAACTTTTATATTTAGAATTAGTCAGCTGGACTCAGTTTAGATGATCCCAATCTGAAAAACAAAAGGGAGCTTTGTTACTGGGAGTTGAAATGTGAATATTAAGCAGGAAATGTCAAAGTTAAAAAGCAAATTGAGGGCACATGGTGAGGGATAGGGCCTATTAAAGACGGGGCGCAGTAGGTCAGTTGAACCTAATCACCTAAGTCAAGGTTTGGTCACTAACAGACACATCATTTGCACCCAGGAAGCGGGGGTGTTAAGGGGTTTGTAGCAAAGGAAGCTTACTTTGTTGGCAACATCCAAAGCGTCATAGTCAGGAGCCAGTCGAACATATGCCTTCTTCTCTCCATCAGGCCTAGGGTGGAAAAGGAAGCCTTAGTCCCTACTGCCCTCACTGCCCCCATATGCCCTTCCTTCCTCCCCAGTCTTCTGGCGTATCAGTGGTTCCTTTGTTCATGTCATTTCCCCCCCCAAATAGTGATTTTTCCATCATTTGCGCAGAGTGGGTCAGGGAAGCCACTAAGCCACAAATGAAGCCAATTCCATTTTATGGGAAACACCACAGGTATTCTGACATTAACTGTATCTTACTCTAGGGTCTGCTTCTGTCTAGAGGTAGGGATCAAGAAAATGAGCACCAACCCCTTAAGTCCTAGAGGCAGGACAGCTGATGTTTCCTCAGAAGTCCATACTCCATACAAGGGGCTGCAATTACAGCAGGGGCTGCTCCCTGGGAAGACTACTTCTGATCCCAAAAGCAGCATCAAGGAATTTCATGCCATTCTGGTTTCCTGGCTTCTGACAAGAGGCCCAGAGGCCCCGGGTTCCTCCACATCCCACAGGACTCCACTCACCTGATCAGGGTGTTGACCTTGGCCACGTCAATGTCATAGAGCTTCTTCACAGCCTGTTTAATCTGGTGCTTGTTGGCCTTGACATCCACAATGAACACCAGCGTGTTGTTGTCTTCTATTTTCTTCATGGCTGACTCGGTGGTGAGGGGGAACTTGATGATGGCATAGTGGTCAAGCCTGGGAGAGAGGCAAAATGGGATCAGCTGGCTTGGGCCCAGTAAAATAAAGAATGGGCGCTCTTTTGGAGCCCAGGTGCATCAGACAATGAGGTAGCAGTCATTTGTGTCAGACTTTGGTCGCTGAACAGTGTCATCACGTGCACCCTGAAACTTAGGGACCTGGAGCCTCAGCTTGGGGATACCTCAAGGGCTTTCATCCCTTAAGTGATTAAACAATCATTTTTGAGTTCCAACTTTATTCATTCTTTTACCTGACCTCAACATTTCTGAAGAGCAAATTTCTAGAAGAAATTTGAGACTTAAGAGGTTAGACAACCCAAGAGCACAAAGTTAAGACTATGGAATCTAGAAACTCAGGCTAGGGTTCCAAACAATGTTGGTGCTTCACTATGAGGCTGAATTGACTGTTTTGCCCCCTTTGATTGCTGAAAACTGGCTTACAAGCCATCAATTCTTGAAAGCAACTTTTTATTTGCAGCTCAGGTTAAAGTTACAGTGGCCATCTAACACAGCTTTCCCCCTGAAATTTAGAGAAGGCTCTATTTGCCTGGATACACCATCCTCTTTTGAAGAGAGATCAGATCTCAATCTCTTATCACACTAAATTCTAGGTCCAAATGGCAGTAAAAAGTCTGTCAAGTCCATTTCTCCTGCCTTTTTCTTAGGAAGCAGTGGGAGGACCCACTGGTGGTAACCACTACCATGGCTCTACTCTAAACTGTGCTCCCTAAGGTCGGTCATTACCACTAGTGACACCGCAACACTCAAGTACCCTAACCTTTTCCACTCACTCCCCCAACCATTCCTTGAGTGTAAACATTTGGGAAAGTGAATGAAAAGAAGTTGCCATACATTGCTGCAGGTCTTCACTGTCCAATATAGATAAATGAATCTCATCAATCTGGAATCATCCCACATCCTCACCTCAAGGACTATTCCCCACAGCAAAGATTTAAAAAAAGTGCAACGAGGAGCAACCTAAACCTGGAACCCCCAAAGAACATCTAAGCCCCACTTTATACTCACAAGAAAGTAGACTACATATGAAATGATGATTAACCTAACAAGTCGCTAATCTTGACAGTGACTCTGGGTTGTTTTAAACGATTCCTACTAATATGCTAAACACGCCTCCTTTCATTTTTAAATAGGGCATTATTCTCTTCGTACTTCCTTTAGAGAAGCACACTAGGTACCAACGTGGTTTTGAGAAGCCATGCTCTAGGTTTGGTAAATTTCCAAATTACCAATGGAGGATATCCACACATCTTTTCATGGGTACGGGGCAGTACTGACTTGTTTCTCCTAGGGGCGCTCTTC